GATGAGCCGGGAAGCCTGAGGCCGGAGACGCCCGCCCTCGGGCCCGTCCGCCCGGCTCCTCCGCTCCCGGTAAGGACGCCCCCTCCCCTCCCCCCAGCCCTGCCTCGGCCTCACCCATTCCCGGCGCTTGCTCCCACCTAACCGGAGCCAAGAGGCCCTCGAAGGGGCTTCTTAAGGTCCTTGTGCGTCGAGCCACCCGAGATTGTAGGACCATAACAGGACCGGGACGCATTCTGGTCCCCGAGGATGAAACAGGAGGGGGCTGGGCCGGCCTGGCTCGCACGGCTCGGTTCTGTCCCAGCGCCTTGATTGGGCTACTTCAACACCCATTCGGTTCTCTTTCGATTTCCTCAAAATCCTTCCCCTTTCATGAGACTCAGACTCTACCCGCTAAACCATATCCCTGATATCCCCACTCCCACCTGAGATGACCTCAGCATGCTCACACACCCCATTCATTCCAGAGTGGTAGAGAAGAACCGTCTTCCCACTCTAGCTGTTTCCCTGTGGTACCACTGTACTATGTCAGGATTCCTGTGTTGAGCTACCTTCCTGGGCAAATAAATCACTCTTGTTATGCTCTCAAAGGACAACCTTGGTGGTATTAAAATAAAGAAGTGGAATCTTCGAGGATTACTGGATGTGAACTCAGGATCTGAGAAATAAGATTCCTGAGGCCTGCTGCTTAGCCATTTTCCCTTGCCTCCCTGGGCAGGGGAGAGATGATGGCACAGACTGGGAAAAGCTGAAATTATGATTTTTGTATTTTTTCTTTCCTTAGTTTATTTGTATCTGAATCTAGAGGAGGCATGCTGAAGAAGAGAAACAGGATCTGTGGGACAGTATGTTTGGGTTTTGACACCGTAATCTTTGTTTTACAGGGTACTGGAAGATGAAAGAGACTATACAAGGGACCGGGTCTTGGGGGCCTGAGCCTCCTGGACCCGGCATAGGTCCAACTTACTCAAGTCCCAGGCGAGAGCGTCTTCGATGGCCCCCACCCCCCAAACCCCGACTCAAGTCAGGTGGAGGGTTTGGGCCAGATCCTGGGTCAGGGACCACAGTGCCAGCCAGACGTCTCCCTGTACCCCGACCTTCTTTTGATGCCTCAGCTAGTGAAGAGGAAGAAGAAGAGGAAGAGGAGGAGGATGAAGATGAGGAGGAGGAAGTGGCAGCTTGGAGGCTGCCCCCCAGATGGGGTCAGCTGGGAACCTCCCAGCGACCTCGCCCTCCCCGCCCCACTCATCGAAAAACCTGTTCGCAGCGCCGCCGCCGAGCTATGAGAGCCTTCCGGATGCTGCTCTACTCAAAAAGCACCTCGCTGACATTCCACTGGAAGCTTTGGGGGCGCCATAGGGGCCGGCGGCGGAGCCTTGCACACCCCAAAAATCATCTTTCACCCCAGGATGGGGGTGCGACGCCACAGGTGCCATCCCCCTGCTGTCGTTTTGACTCCCCCCGGGGGCCACCTCCACCCCGGCTGGGTCTGCTAGGTGCTCTCATGGCTGAGGATGGGGTAAGAGGGTCTCCACCAGTGCCCTCTGGGCCCCCTGTGGAGGAAGATGGACTAAGGTGGACCCCAAAGTCTCCTCTGGACCCTGACTCAGGTAAGGTGGGGAAGAGGTGGGGAGGGTGGGTGAAGTGCTAAGAACCTGGAACACCAGGAGCCTCTTGCTGTGGTGAGAACTGGGCCTAAGGAAGGTAGGATGGCAGCATGAGGATTCTAGAATAGCTGTGAAATGTCTTCATTAAGCCCTACTTTGAGTAGAAGGTAAGCTTGGGAGACAGTCAAAGCTGGAAAACAAGAAGGTGTCTTGTGGTCTCAAGTGAGAAAGGGAACCATGGTTTAGGAAAATCAGACAATCTCGTCCACTTGCAATCCTTTTTTGGACTCTCATGATGAGAGTCCCTGTGCGTACATCTCCAGAGAGTGCCATTCTTCTGTTGGTGGGATAGGATCTCTTCCAGTAGTAGAGTACATCATTTGTATAGTTTTTTTTTTTTTTTTTTGAGTTGGAGTCTCACTCTGTCGCCCAGACTGGAGTGCAGTGGCCGCTCCCGGCCACCACAGCCTTGATCTGCTGGGCTCCAGTGATCCTTCCGCCTCAGCCTTCCGAGTAGCCGAAATTACAGGCATGCGCTACCACGCCCAGCTAATTTTTTGATTTATTGTAGAGATGAGGTCTCGCCTGCCCAGGCGGGTCTCGAACCCGCGGGCTCAGGCAGTCCACTCACCTCAGCCTCCCAAAGGCGTGGGATTACAGGCTGAGCCACCGAGCCCGGCTCATTTATATAGTTTTATGTGACATTCTCTCTCAAGAGTATTTGCCTTTTGGAGAACTCCAGACAAACAATTTTAGGCTCGCTACATCTTTATTAAATAGTTAAATATTTATTGCGCCTTTAGGTATGCTGGTACTATGCTAGGTATTTGGCATGAAGTGGTGACAGATATCCCTGAAATTTACATCTCTGAATGCTTATTTTTTCTTTCTTCCTGTCTACAAATAGGAACTTTTTCTGTCTCTTTAGAACCTCTTAGACATCTTTATCTTATGCTCATAAGGTCTCCATTTCTTTGACAGATACTCTGTCAACTCATCCTTCTCATTTGTGCGCATCAGTTAATTGTGTGCATCTCACTGTCTTTTACCTGGGCCAATTTCTCTTCCATGTTCTTTTTCCCCTGCCCTATAGGCCTCCTCTCGTGTACTCTGCCTAATGGCTTTGGGGGACCATCTGGGCCAGAAGGAGAGCGCAGCCTGGGACCCCCTGATGCCAGCATCCTTATCAGCAATGTGTGCAGCATCGGGGACCATGTGGCCCAGGAACTTTTTCAGGGCTCAGATTTGGGCACTGCAGAAGAGACAGAGAGGCCTGGGGAGAAAGCTGGCCAGCACAGTCCCCTGCGAGAGGAGCATGTGACCTGCGTGCAGAGTAAGAAGCCCTAGAGGACCTATTGTTTTTCCTCATCTTCTAGAACAGAGTCTAGAGGCCTCACCCCGCTCCTCTCTCCCTCCACTCAGGCATTTTGGATGAATTCCTTCAAACTTATGGCAGCCTCATCCCCCTCAGCACTGATGAGGTAGTAGAGAAATTGGAGGACATTTTCCAGCAGGAGTTCTCTACTCCTTCCAGGTGAGGCTTGAAAGATGGATGTAGGGCAGGGACCTGAGGGATGTGGAGAGAATGCTGCTGCCTGTTCTCCCATAGGGATGTACTTGGGGAGGAGGAGGAAGCTAGAGCTGAAGGGGAGAAATCTGAAGGCAAGGTTCCAAGTCCCTGTAAGCTATCCTGGAGAGTCTCTACCTGGGACCCTGAAATGTTATACCTGGATATTCATGTGTCTCTTTGTGGGAAGTAGGCCTTTAGCAGGTCTCAAAAGGACCCATGACCCAAAAAAGGTGGGGGTCGGTTATAATTTTTATTCTAGGGAGTAGTAGGTATTTCTGTGTGCCCCAGCCATGTCATCTCTTATGTGACTCCACCTTTGGCCTACTCAGAAAGGGCCTGGTACTACAGCTGATCCAGTCATACCAGCGGATGCCAGGCAATGCCATGGTGAGGGGCTTCCGAGTGGCCTATAAGCGGCATGTGCTGACCATGGATGATTTGGGGACCTTGTATGGGCAGAACTGGCTCAATGACCAGGTGAGAAGGGGTAGGGAAACAGGCCTGAGAGGGTATTCAGGGAGCAGGGTGTCTGGGGTCCTCTGCATGGGGGAGCCCTGTACCCATGCCACACCCTCCATGGCAAGTTGCTTCCCATCTCTTCCCCCCTCCCAGGTGATGAACATGTATGGAGATCTGGTCATGGACACAGTCCCTGAAAAGGTAGGCCCAACCAGATACTTCAATTCTTAGACTAACTCTGTTTCTGGGGGAGAGTTGGTAGATGGTAATCTACTAATTTCAGATCTGTAGTCTTGGCCCTGAATTTATCAATTATTTTCCTTTCCACTGGTATTTAGTGTTTTCCCTATGGCAAACCTCAAGAATCGGAATGGGAGTCTGTCTATAAGATAAAGTTAAAACAGTAATTTGCTTTTTTACTGTCAGTGAGTTGGACTACGGGTTATTGAAACCAATCCTTAGAGACATATTGCAATAGCGGGGGGAGACTTAGTGGGAGGGTCTGAAGGTCTTTTAATTCCATCCAGTTCTTTTGTGTTATTGGCACAGGTGCATTTCTTCAACAGTTTCTTCTATGATAAACTCCGTACTAAGGGTTATGATGGGGTGAAAAGGTGGACCAAAAA